GGTTGTAAATTTACCGCTGTCCTACCGGCGGAGTAGACCAAAATTTATGTATCTGTCTAATCTGTACTAATTAAAATGTTTTTCTCCAGATGGTGTTAATTTTGACTTTATTGATGAAAAACAATAATTCAATTTATATCACATACCCTTTTCAAAAATTTAATTTCAAATCAAAAACTTTTAAAGCTTACACGATAATGTAAACTTAATACAGAATTTTCACTTACTCCTTTAGACTATTGTTTCATTTGATGAAACGCCTCAAAAATATTTCTTTAATTCAGTTATAAATGCAACAATTTAAAAAACATATTTTTCACTCAGGGGGTATATTGTCTTATCATTATGTTCAGGGCACTGCGCGAACTTCTTTGGATATTTACTATATACAAACTGAGGTGACGTGTTTGTTTAATTGACATCGATGCCAACAGAATATAAATTGCAACATGTATGACAAAATTTTAAATGTCTTTAAAGACAAACCGAACAGAAGTCCAAGCTCTAGAGAGAAAAAAAAATAGCCGTATATCTAAAACTGCAAGCTGTCTGATGGGCGGCAGTGTGTCTTCAAACTCTCTGATGGTATATGCAGAACCACAGAACTAGCTGTATTATTAGTAATGAATGAGCCATCAAACACAGATGTTGCTGAAGACTCTAGCAGTCACATGCGTAGCGGAATCTGTTTCTACTAGAAAAATAACCAATACGTCAACATACGTAAATGGAAAGGGAAGAGAGTGAAATTTACATTTATGTATGCTTAAAGGACCATCTATTATATTTTGTTGTAAATGCATTTTCTGGATATATATTTAAATAATGTAAAAATAAAACAAAACTGACATGTGGTCTATTTCAATTCAAGTATTTTTAATATAAACTTTGGAAGAAAGAAGGATATTAGGGTTGAAAAATATACATTTTATGGAAAAGCAAAAACGCATTTCATATTACAGCATCTTCGATTTAAATAATTGTTAATTCCAGAAAGCACACACACCCTCAGGATTAAAATACTTGATTATAGGTAAGGAAGACAACAACAATAGTATTATTAACTATGGTAATAACAATCATTGATTGTTTAACCTGTTAAAGTAAAATGTTCATAACTTTCAAGTACATTTGTCCGTGTATTTATAATGCAACACTTTGTTTCTCCAGTAAAATATACCAGAGTATGATAGTGCGATTAATTTGTGAATTCGTGTTTACCCAGTATAAAATTTACCGACCCCCAGTGGCTTAGAGGTAAATCTGAAGGCTTATAATGCTAAAACCTGGGTTTTCATACCCGTGGTGGGCAGAGCACAGATAGCCCATTGTGTAGCTTTGTGCTTAATTACAAACAAATAAACAAACAAAATAAAAGTAGCAAATTTTATCTAGAGAACATTTACGTCTTATTTAATATAAACCTGCGAACAACGAGCGTAAAAAACAAACAAACGCAAATTGTATGCAAAACGTTGAATTTCGTAACTGTAAAAAAAAAAAATTATCAAGCAAAGCAGATTAGTTGAGTTCCTCGGTGAGTTGCCCCCCCCCGTGTCACTGCGGTATGTCTACGGACTTAGAACGCTAGAATTCGGGTTTCGATACCCGTTGTGGGCAGAGCACAAATAGCCCATTGTGTAGCTTTGTGCTTAATTACAAAACAAAACAAACCTAAATGAGTTATAAACGTAGTTCTAAAGAAATGTCGCAAAGCAATAATCATTTAAAAAAATAAACATCTACGTGTTTGGAGCTGATAAACTGATAACTGTGACTTTAATTCTAATTGATGATTTTCTTTTACGTAATGTTAGTAAGCACACATTAAAGACAGAAACATGTAGTGGAGATTTCAATGTTAAAAGTGTTAAGGCTTATAACCCAGATTCGTAAAACCTTCTCATTTTTTTATAAAGTCACTGTTTACGTACTCACGATTTTAGTAATATATATATAACATTGGTATTAATTGTTTGGATATGCAACAAGCAAACCTACTATTGAACAACTAAAGTTTATTCTAGAGTTCGGAATGTATGTCATTATTTTAAAAATTATACTCTAAAGAAACTTGAAATAAATAAATAAATAAAAAGGAGGTTACACTTCTTCTAAGAAGACTCTGGAAATAATGAATCTGAAGGAAACGAGAGCGTTGAACAGGAAAAGGTTGCGCTATAGAACAAAGGAAGTAACAGAAACATTGTAGCATACGTACAAAAAGGTATTATAGTTAGTAGAGCGAATAAGAACAATCTTGTCTACAGTTAAAGCAAAGTAATAAACTACACAATAAATATTATGTTTGATTTCTATGCGTAATGGTTAGTTCGAATAGATTACTCTTTTCTGACTGAGATATCTAAAAGAGTGGAAGGAGGTTATTACGTTTTAGCAGAAGATGATATTATTCGAAAGAAAAGACGGGAAGTTGCCAAATGATTAGATATGATTTAGGAATGTTGATTCGAATGCATTTATAGGCGTTACAGAAGAGGGGAAGTATTGCTGAAAGTTGCACTCGAAGTAGAAATACGAGCAGGTTAAGAACAGAACAACAGAACGAATTATGGACAAAACTTGAAACCAGTAATGATTATATTAGAATTAATTAACTGTATCAAGCTTGTGCAACAATAAGTTCCGTAGGATCTATTAAAAACGTACTACTTGCTGGAAAGTAAGTGCCCTTCTTCCCATAATGTATAAAGTTGTGATCAACACTGACGTCATTACGGCGGACAAACCCTCATGACCTGGATGACAGTATGCAGGCTTTGCGTTTTGTTGACTGGCGGCTTTTAAAGCCGACATTAAGGGCAGGTGATGTTTTTTGAACAAAAGTGAAGTAAATACGGGCAGTCATAATAGAATAGGAAATGCCATGCTTTCCACGCCTATAATCAACAACAGGTCCATAGCACAACAGTAAGAAGCTAACTGAACCCTCTCTATTCAGCCTACGCCCGGATTAATCACATGAACATGTCTGGATGCTGGTAGAAAAGCTAGTTTAGCTTTTCACTCCTGCCAACAATGCTATTATCCTGAGAGGGTCATAGCTTACAGGCAAAATGACAACAGATAAATATGGGTACAACTCGATATACTTATTTGTTTAATTCAATCTCATCATGGTAGTCAGTTTCTCAAGACCCAACATAACGGAAAATAGAAAATACGAAAACTTGAGTCTGAATACGTACTTATTAATCAAGATCTCAATCAGAGTTAACATGAAAAGAGGCTGAAATGTTAATTTAAAGAACGTGTCTAATATATCTACTATGCATAAAGAAATACGCCACTCGAAATAAAATCATAGAGGATTATTAAACGAAACAATGCTATGAAAACATTGCAAGAGATGATATTTATAAACAGAACTGTGCAATTAGTCATCTGTCATAAGCTGTAATGTCTATTGTCCTGAAAGAAAATGAATATTTCTTTATTTTACAAATATTTTGTGATGCAGCAACAAAGTTCATTTGCACATATACCAAAAGTGGAAGCATTTGTTGTTATTTTTTTTAAGATACTCACTTTAAAATAAAATATAAATAATTTGAAACAAGCACGCCAAGGTGGAAAAAATATATATATTATTACACTTACTTCAGTTTTTGTTGCTTTAAATAGATAACGATAAGCTATCATGTAATGTGAATGTTCAAGTTTACTTTGAGAGGGAAAGCACAAATAACCAATTAAAGTACTTGTAATCGATAGTAGCCCTATCGGGATTAAAGAAGCACTGAGATTAATTATTTTAGTAAATAAGCTGAATCGTGCAGTAAATAATTAATGACTTATCTATTAATGCTGACTGTTTCAAAAGAGGAGAGAATTGCTATTTTTTGCTACCTCAAATAATTCGCTATTTATAAACGATTCATTATCCTGACCTTTAGATATTGTTTCTGTTGTATAATGATTCTGTTTATATCGATAGCTTGTTCTTTCTTCGATCTCGGAATTGCAACACCGGATAAAACTCTAATATGCTGTCCATATAAATTCTAATCACAATACTGTAAATATGATTTTTAACTATCTATGTCTTACTCTAAGATGTTATATGACAATCAATAAGTTTATTCAACAGCAATATAAGCAGAGAGAAAAATCAATAATACTCATACACATATAGCCAGATAAAAGTGCAGAAAACTTTATAGAAAATAAAGTACACTGTTTTTTTTTTCCTATCTCCATGACAATTTCCGGTAAACGAATAAAAACAGAGGATCACTGTTACAAAAGTTATGGTTTCACTTCTTTGAGTTTAATTATTATCCAATAAGAAATGAATAAAAAAAGACTAGATTTTTAGAGTGTTCAAGTCTCACCCTGTGTAGCGAACTTTACAGCAAGGACCCAAGGTTTCACAAGTAAAACAAACTGTACGTGAACACAGCGAAATCACATCTGAAAGACAGATCCACCATCACGACCTTCTTCGTGATATCAGCAGTAACTACTTTTCTATTTTTAAAGCGTTTTGAGGTGTTGATTTCTGTTCTAGTATCTTAAAAGGAATAGTTGATGACCCGTTTGGATATATAGATGTTTTTTTTAAATATTTTAACCTGATAGAGAAACATGATTTACTTTAAACAAGAGAGAGAGAAACCAGCATATGAATACAAGGTTAGAAGCTTTACAAAGAAGACACTGAAAACTATAAGAGTAAATATCAAGTGCATTAGGTGATGAAATGTCTAAACAAATTAAGCAAAGTTATTTACATCATTGCAAAGTAATAATTTCATTGTTAAACATAGCCTGTCATGAATATTTTAAGATATCTGTAATCAAATATAACCTGTTTTAACATAATATATATATATCAGGTAATGGGTTATTGGAATACTCAATTCTATATTGAGAACGAGGTCCGGGAAGAATTTTAAAAGTATCGAATTAATTTACTGTTAAAAGAGAGTTTAACCCCAATAACATCGTGACAACAAAGAAGGAAACTTCACCCTTACCCAAGCTGTCGTAGGCTAGCGGCTCATTTTTTCTTCTTATAATGCAGCAAGTCAGGAAAAGCGCCAATACGCACCATCTCGCTCCAAATGCTAGACTGCTGTCTCTGGTAACAGCTCTGGAACTGCCAGATCTATCGTACTCAGCAGTACTCTCGCCACCAGACGTCATACTATGCAGCTATAGGGGTCGCTTCAATGATGAGGGCAATGTAAACGAATTGATGTAATGGCTACTGGGTCTAAGATACTGATTGTTAAAGCAGAAAAAATACAATATTAAGTAAGTTAGAATTAAAATTTCCAATGGTGATAAGCTGAAGCAGAATATGAAAATGTTTGTATTCTCAAAAATGCCATAAAAATGTCATGAAGACTTTTTTGTTGTTTTAAACTTTGAATTATCAAACACTCTTTCTAAACATTGACTACTTATTATTACATGCTGGTGAAAAATGAAACAAAATAGCTTGTACAACTTTTAGATAAAATTTAAAATGCATAATACAGGATATTTTTATCACTTTTGCGTCTTCAATAATACCATCAAATCATTTTGCTACACTTATACAAAAATGGGATGTCAAATATTATGTTTTCCTCATAAACTTTGCTTACATGTAGTTATCAGGCAGTTGATAAACCTAAATCTGTTTAATACCATAATTGTCAAGAAAGAAAACTGATGTATTACGATTCCAATGGAATATACAGGATAATTTCGATTTTTTTTTATAGTACAGTTATTGACTAGGACACATTTTAGGGAGTTCGGAACCCCGTCCCACCAAACATTCTCGCCCTTTCAGCCGTGAGGGCGTTATCATGTGACGCCCAATTCCAATATTCGTTGGTAAAAGAGTAGCCCAAGAGTTGGTGGTGGGTGGTGATGACTAGCTGCCTTCCCCCTGGTCTTTCACTGCTAAATTAGGGACGGCTAGCGCAGATAGCCCTCGTGTAGCTTTGCGCAAAATTCAAAACAAACAAACAAACACATTTTAGGTTTCATTATGCTGGTCATAACAATAATGGGGCTGGAATACCAACATCAGGATATAATTTTAACTTATCACTTTCAGTAATTTGTTTGTAACAACCTATTTTATTTTATTTTTATTTTTCCTTGCTTTTAGGAAACTTTAACAGAAACTAACTCCTTAAAACTGGCTTAAGACGATAAATGTTATCCTTTAAGCATCCCTAATTTTAAACATTTTTAGCCACATTTCACATGTGAGTCTAACCAGTAGAGAATAAATCCGATAGACTACGTATTCTCAACGCTATGATGGTCCTATTTCTGAAAACACTTTTTTGATTATAATACATTTATTATACCCCTTACATTGTAGTTTTACCCTAGTATTATTTGTCTGTTCTAATTTGTCCTAATTATTTTCATTTTATTTTGTATGTATGGAAACGAAACGTTGAATTTACTATAAATAAACAATTTAATTAGTATTTACACGGTTTTACATGGGGAAGTATAACTAAAAACATTTAATCTCCAGTTATAATTTATAATTTGACTGCAAACAGCAGCTACATTTACTTGTTTCTGTGTAATTGATCTAACGATTACTTTCATTCACATAGATAATCACTGCATTAAAATATAGAAGCTTGATTTTTTACTTTGCAATTTCTGGCTTAGATCTTAGTGACAAAAAGAGAGAGAGCAGGCTTTTTCTTTAATCTTTAAACTCTCTTTTTTTGTATTGAAAAACAGTACATATTAATTTTTAAAGAAAAACATGTTATGATACTTGATCTATCTGTGAAAAATGTTATTGAAGCTATCGATTACGTTTATTTATTTAATCTGCTCACCACGGGTATCGAAATCCGGTTTTTAGCGTTAGAAGTTCGCAGACATACCGTTGTGCCACTGGAGGGGGGTCGTATATGGGAGAATAGGTAGGGATATGACTCTTGTTAAGGATAGCTTGTTCTTTACTTCATTCTGTGTACCTCTCAGACAGTGTTTGTGGTTGCTATTATTTCAATAGAGTATTAGGGACTATTCTTTAATATTAGATTCGATTAGATTATGCTTTAAAAAAACACACTTTCCGTGGGTTGGAGCATATATACATTATCATAACATTTATCAAATACGATTATTCTACATTTCATGTAATATATTACCACTACACATTGGTTTTTATAAGATACAGTATTATCCTTGTCACTACAACTTGTAGCTGCATAATTTTTACGCTTCTCTACCTGCCTCTTTCTTAAATCACGTCTCTTTTTTTATACATTATTTTACATTGTCACATTCAATAATCCTTACGAGCTTTTATTTGATTCACACATCTAATATTTTCATCAATTAAGAAACTTCTACAAGATCTTCATCTTCAGTAACAGTAGTGAATTTTTCTTCACGTTTACTGAAGCTATCTTTCAAAATTCAAATAATATAAACTGCCTAGCCTAAAGTACTAGACATGTGATTACACGAGGAGATTTAGTGTCCATTTCTTGAAATACACTATATTATCGTTCTTCACAGTAACAACAGCTGTTATTCTTCAACCAGCTATGTTCCAATAAGTTTGCGAATGTTTCCGTTCATGGCAGTTGGAAGATTATGAATCAGTATTTCGAATTAACCCTACCCCTCATATGGCTGCAAAAATGGGCTCTGACTAGGCATTCCGGGATGTTGATAATACTGCTTTAAAACAAGGCACGAGCTGCTTATGGTTTATGAAAAAAAAAAACATTATTTTACTGGAACAAAACGTTCATCTACTGAACAAACATTCTACCATGCTCCCTAGAACGTATTTTATTGAAGATGTTCTTTGCATCTATAATTGCATCACTTCATGTTAGGTCCCACCTCCAAGGTGAAGAATGAGCCCCCACATCAAAACGTTTTTATCTCAACCAAACACATTTAGCATTCTACAGTCATCATTGAATTGTTCGCCAATTGCAACCAGACATATAGTTGAAACTAGGTAAAATGGCTTTTATCAGTTTACAAAATTTGACATCAGTCATCAAAATTTCAATAAACCGGAGTATATATTTAGGGTTTGGGGAATGTTATCTGCAGTTAACGTAACATTATTTTTGTGTAGCTTTATCTTCATTATGTAATTCTTCGTGTTAAACGTTGCAAAATGACAAGTGTTATTCATCAAAGTATTTCACAATAATTTTCTCTTATTCATTAAAAATTAACTTAATCAAGACTTTTATTTTTTAATGCTGTTGTGAAAAAAAAAGATTGATGTAACTTTTAGTAGAAAAACACACCTCTCAAGAACTATTTTAGATGCTACAATATCGCTAAACATAGTGGAAATTGAGACTATAGAATATAGGTATATGATTAATGTAAAACACTGAATCAAAAGAATAAGATTTAAAATCTCAGCTAAAAAGAAGTTTGCTGCTGTCATCCAAACTCTTTACAATATACGGAAGGAATAAATTTCCAAATGACGGTAACATACTGATAACCAGCAATAAACCTATAGCTAAGATTTTCACAAATTTACCGTTAGACTTGTTTCTCAAACGGCCGAATTGTGAAAATGTTTATACAGATTAAATAAATGATAAAAAAACACACTATGATAACTCCTTGAGCCAAGTAACTCAGAAACCAAATGCTAAGGATTGTACAACAGATATTCCTGAAACTTCACTAATTTGTGTAGTGAACTGTGATATTCGTTTTCACTTATCATTTTCAATCCCACCTCCGGCCATTGAACAAATGAAAAACGAAATAAAGGATTTACAAACTCGAGTAAAACATATCATCCAAAGCTTTAAGTATCTATAAACCGATCGCTAGAACTTCACAACACAGTCTTGAAGAAAATACTACATATACCCTCAAACATCTTCAAAGAAAATAAGCTTCTTAACATAATTTTTTCTTTCAATTTTCGACCAAACAACAGTCGAATGTCAGAATTTTAATAATCTTCCTAAAGATCACTAAGAGAATACCATTCATTACCACATATCATTTAAGCAAATAATTCCACAGTTGAAACTATTTCATAGCTGGGGAACAAACTATTACAGCCACTGTCAAAGTTGTCCCTTAACAAAACACAAATGCAAGATATTTTATTAATCATCTGAAAACAGAAAAGCCTGCTAGAAACCAAACAACAATTTTGTTCAATCTGGACGAGACATCCTTAACTGGCCCGGCATGGCCAGGTGGTTAAGGCACTCGACTCGCAATCTGAGGGTCGCGGGTTCGAGTCCCCGTCACACCAAACATACTCGCCCTTTCAGCCGTGGGGGCGTTATAATGTGACGGTCAATCCCACTATTCGTTGGTAAAAGAGTAGCCCAAGAGTTGGCGGTGGGTGGTGATGACTAGCTGCCTTCCCTCTAGTCTTACACTGCTAAATTAGGGACGGCTAGCGCAGATAGCCCTCGTGTAGCTTTGCGCGAAATTAAAAAAAAACAAAAACAAACAAAAAACAAACATCCTTAACTCCACTCTTCCCTATTGAGTAAGATATTAAAGTTGTAATAGAAATTGTTGATAAAAATAATGATGGCCTAAATCAAAGATAAATTTATAACACTACACTAAAAATAATGTTAAGTTTTGTTCTCTATAAAAATTTATTTCAATTTAATTCTAACTTATTCAACAAAATTAAAGGTATAGTTATCTGTAACCACATTTTCGTTGTCTTTGCTGTAATCTGTCCAGCCTAGACACGTGCTACAGTTTCTAAGATGATACATCTAGGGTGTGGAGTTAAGGACTAGGTCATATCTTTAAATTTCACAGATCTTCTTAGCACAGTCTTGATAACTTTCAAAACAGCGGTGAATTCTTCTTTCTACTCACTTTGATAATCCGAAGGTAATCTACCGCCATCTTTATATTGATAGCATTGTGTTAGCCATATATTATATATATATATATATATTTAAACTTCATATCTCACCACTTAATCAATGTGAAATGCGTGGCAATATTCAATGAAACCAATCGCATTCATTCAATATACAACACCTATAGCGCTACTCTAAAGGCAACAGACATGTCACATTTTCCAAGATAAAAACCACTCAAAAACTTAATAAATCAGCTTCATTAATGGAAATGTAACATCTTGTCTCGGAAAACACAGATTTGTCACAACATCTTGTCTCGGTAAACGCAAACTTATCACCACATCTT